ATGCGCTCATTAGGCGTGTTCGTGGGAAAAGGGACCCTTCTTCCATCCAAGGCACCGCTCAGGCGGTCTTTGCGCAAGCGTCATCTGGTGCAGCTGCATTCCTTGGACTTGGAGGGTCAAACGATGACGATGAAGAGGAGGATGAAGAAGAATCCTGGTCGGCGGGACTGGGATTTGCACGAGTCCGCACCAATAAGGACGAGTGGAAGGATATCATGAAATTCATTCGTGCCGGAATTCCACTAACATGTCGGGCAAAGGTCTGGTTCGAATGTAGTGGTGCGATCGAATTATCAGAGCCTGGCACGTTCCGCGATTTGGCTGCAGAAGCGGCCCGTATACATAAGCAAATGAAGAGCGACCAAGGGAAACATATTGCGATGGAAGAGGTTGAGAAAGACGTGACTCGAACCATGCCATTGAATGTATTCTTCGGTGGAGATGGACAGGGCGGAATGACGGATCGGCAATTGACGACGTGTATTTTCTCGATAAATAGAGGGTCGGTGGTCTTGCCTCTACAGGGATAATGGAGTCCATTTCGACGGTGCCCACCTTTGGAACGACACCGTTGACTACAATAGGGGCTTTTTGACCATTAGGATCAGAAGCAACGGGTTTGGATGGCTGAGGATTGCTAGCGGGACGACTCTTGAAAGTGGATAGGATCGGAGCTGCAATGATGGCTGCAGGATTAGGTCGACGTCCGACACCGACTAACATACTCTTGTTCAATGTTTTACTGAGATTAGAGACGAGGGTTGCTCGAGTCTCAGTGGCCTCCATATGAACAACGGCTGATGCGGGCAACGGTACGTCTGAGGCGACCGGGACAGGCGGTGTCTTTTCCTTGAACGACCTGGCCCCACCACGACCCTCACGAAGGGTAAAAGACGTATCCTCTTTGAGATTAAAGACAAGGGCATGTCCGAGCTGTGCGATGAAAGGAGATACGCCACCGTCTACCATAATGCTATGTGGGTCCGAGCTCATAACCCGGGTTGCATACGATATTGCTCGGATGTGACTGGGATGTGGACCTGACGGCAAGGTAGGATGTTCTTCTTTGGTTGCCTTTGTGATTACAGACACGCGACTGGAGGGAATGGGGGTCCCATCTGGTGGGGTTGAAATTTGAGGGGCAATGGTAGGCATCAAAGCAGAAGTAGGGGTAGGTTGGATTCGACTGGAAGTTGGGGAGCCATCTGAAGCGATGAAGGGGCCAATGGCTACAGACAATTTACGCGGAGGCCGTCTTCGATCAGGAGATGAAGCGGTTGCGATCGTGCTATCGGGCTTTTGAGAGGTCATCCATGATGGCATCGTAAATGGGTTGAGAGTTTTGCGTTTCTGAGGCTCTTTCTTGGCCGTAGAGCCTTGTTCTGTATCTTCACCCCCTGGAGAAGATGGCCGCTCTTGATTAGACGGAGGGGACTCAATGGAGGTAGTACTCTTGTTGCTATCGCGCCACCAGCTACCCATCCACTCTCCAACTGTCGACATCGGTCGACTGGCTCTATCTCTACTTCTTACACTCCCTCGGCTCCTGATACTCCCTCTTTCATTATCG